TAATGGTTAGGTAACATGTACTGAGTGTGAGCACCAGAGCTCAGGAGGTCCTTCTAGGGCTTCTTTGTTTAGTGGATTCAGGAATAAAACTGTCTTGGTTTATGTGATCCGCTTAGCAAAACAAAGCTCTGACTTACTGACAAAACACTCTCCTTTCATGTAGGTATTGTCTGAAGGAGCCGTATTTCTACACAGTGCATTATGAACTCTGTAATGCCCCCTAATATTGAACACAATTCAGTGAAAAAGTCTCAACTGCAGCTGAAATTTCAAAGCTCTTCAGTAGGACTGTGCCCTGAGTCACAGCGCCTCCAGCTCTAAGTTTTAAGACCATATGCTATGTGTTTCTTGTCACTTGGGGGGGCCTTTCTGTGTCCATACATGTTTTTCAGGCATAGCGTGGGTTAAATCCCCTTCCATTCTCATGCACATTTCAGCTGGATTAGGCGCTTAATTATAGGAAAGAAATTCCAGTGTGAACGCAGCTATCAGCTTAGATTTAATGATGAATGTTCCTGATTATTTTTGGTGGGGAAAAAACAAGTGCTTTTGAAATAACAATTTTTCTCTTTTTTTAGTGAATTAAATGTAGAAATTGTGGAGAACACCACAGCCGTGATGTTTTTCAGCCTGTTTTATTTTTCTGTAGTCTTCCACGATCCGTATTTCTAGTAACTTACCAGTATTGTATTTTGTTTAGATTTACTAAACCACATGAAGAGTGAAATAAATGGGAAACTACAGAATACAAGATGAACTTTGTAGAGGTTTCATGTTATATTAGCATAGGTCATTTGACCTAACCACTTTTTCTTCCAAAGACACATCACATTGTCAATTTGTATTATAACTACTTAATTTGATAGCATGAGAGTGGCCAATTTGTTCTAGTAACAATCCCAATGACAAAGTCAAAGAAAAAAATAATGTAATACATATTTGTTCTGCAATCTTGTCTATAACAAAATGGGCTTAAATATCTAAACATTTTCAGAGTCAGGGTCTGTGTGAAGGGTAGTGTGAAACCTGTGGTAGAGGAGAAGAAAACTGAGTTACGCTTGGTTCTGGTTTGTTAACTTTTCTCAATTTTAGGCAGGGCCTGAGACCATAGGTATGACAGGGACCTGAGCAGTAGGTATGACAGAAGGTCCAAGAAACCATAGTGATTTGAAAAGTTTGAGTGACATTGACCCAAATATAATCTTGCTAGTAGTTTGTTGGATGGGAGGAAAAAAAAAAAATTGATTTTTTTTTTTTTTAAGCTCCTGCTGTATGATTTCTTAACTCTTGTGGTTTTGCTTTTGCCTATTGATCGCTGCTGATGGTTATCTCACAGTCAGCATGAAGTCTATCCCAAACAGTTATCTGCTCAACCCTCAAGTCCACCACATGCTTCCTCCAGTTGACCTCAGTTAACCCTTCTTACTCTTTCAAACATCAAATGCTGGCACAAGTCAACCCTCTCCCTCTGGGACTGAGATTATGGCTTTTATGTAGAAGACTTTGTTGTATACAGAAGCTTTTGCTGGCACCATTATAGTTCAGACAGTTGAGACACTTTGGATACAAGATGGTATTTCTTTGCAACGATAAAGAACTAGCTCCAGGCTTGGTCCACGCAGGTAAGCTTTTCACTTCCCATCATATCTGCAGAAGACTGAAGAAGAGATTCTGATCTCATGGTTCTGTTAACCTGGGATAACTCTTCTGAACCTATTGCACTAGTGTCAGTATAAAACCAGTAAAATGGAGATCAAACTCTATTTCTTGAAGTACTAATTTTATAAAGGAAATTCTGTATCTTTTGACAGTTCGGAGATGAGGATATATTGATTGATTCATTTAGCTGTTCTTTAAGGTCGGGTAAATATTTTCATATTCTTACTTGCAATGCAGGTTATAGGTTCCAATTAATAGTAAAAATAGAAGACAACTGGAACAGATTATTATTGTTATTATTTTTACATTTCTGGTGTCCCAGTTACTGAGCTAAGGATACGATTTTGAGCGTAGTTCTCTGAATGTTAAACTTTTTTTATAGGGGCTGGGGAGACATACAGTATGCTTCCTTTTATTATGGTGTATCTAAAATAAATAATGTCAGACTCTACATCTTGTTACTATCATCTAGTATGCTGTAGTAGATATGGAAAATAAATGACAGAAGTAGCAGTGTATAAATACATACAAGAGAACTCTTACAAAAGGATTTAGACAAGGGATGACTGGACAGTGACAGCAGAAAGTGCAAGTGCGTAACAATTTAGTCCTTGATTCTTGTCCATTTAATCACTGCCCAACACACAGATCTATTGCCTAAAATCGCTCTTCCTGTTCCAGCCCCTCCTGCCCCTGCAGTAGGATATTCAGAGATGGGTACTTTTTCTCTGAGTAAAGCAGATCAAATGCACTCCTTGATTATATTCTTTGCTGAGATAAATTGGACTTCACCAGAAAACAGAAATGGTACTTCAATATGGGATTTTCAAAACAGGATAATGAGTTGTGTGACTTTCAAAAATCCATAGTTTGTCAGAATTACTGACTGTACTTCAATTTTCTGTTTGCATGTAATTAAGAATTGCTGTGAAATGTTTCTGTGCCCTTATTCAAGCTGCAGCTCTTGTATAAGAACTAAGACAGACTCTCTGCCTGGATATTTGTAATGAGGATGTGTTCGTGCCCTGATGTTCACAATGTATGAAACAAGTGCAGACTTCTAATATTTAGGAACTCTGAAAGAGTCTTGTTTTCATATTACTATCCACCAGATCAGGCTGCCCCACAATCCTGGTCTTGGGATTTCTGGGGATGGGGCATGTCCCATCTCTCTCTGAGTAAAGAACTTCTACCTAACATCTACCCTGAGTCTCCACTCTTTTAGTTTAAAGCTGTTCTTCCCTTTTCTGTCACTATCTGCTGATGTAAGACTTTTTTTTTTCTCTTCTGATCATGAGCTACTTTTAAGTACTGACTCACTGAGGTCTCCTCAAAGCCTTCTCTTCTCCAGACCAAACAAGCTCAGCTCCCTCAGCCTGTCTTCGTAGGAGAGGAGAGCCTTCTAGATGTCCTCATGGCCTCCTTTGGACCAACTCAACAGCTCTGTGACCTCCTTATGTTGGAGCCCTAGGCCTGGACACAATATTCCACATGGAGCCTCTTGAATACAAAGTAGAGGAGGACAATCCCCTCTCTCTCCCTGCTGGCCACCCCTGTTTTCATGCAGCCCAGGATAAATTGACATTCCAGGCTGCAAGCGCTCACTGCTGGCTCACATCAAGCTTTACATCCACCAGACCCCCAAGTCTTTCTCAGTTTCCTCTGTTTCCAAGCATCATCCATCCTGAAAGCAGTAACTTACTAGCAAACTGCTGTTAAAAGGTAAACTGGGGGATATATAGAGAATTTCTTAATGTCTTTAAGAAATTATAAACAGTGCCATTATATGCAAGAAAGCTCTGGCGAGACGAGTAAAAAAATAAAGTATGCTTGTGTATAAAATATCACTGAGAAATTTTAAAGCACTGACTTTATATTGAACATTTATAATGCCTATTAGATTGCAGGCATTCCATAGCCCTGAACTGGCTGAGGTTTGGATTACACCACTGCCACAAGGCATGATAAATCATCATCACTTCTCTTATCATTCGGAGAATTAACTCTAATGATTCCGGTTTATTCTAGTTGTCAATAATGTGTCACAATCATAAAAGTCCATTGCAGCAGTTTAAAGAATGCATTCCTATTTATCTGAAAGCGTTAATAATTTCTGCTTTATTGTAACAATAGTAGGAAAAAAAATAACAAAACGTTATTTCATTTATATCCTTGAGCATGTTTTTATGATAGTGTCAAATTTCATCATGTTTTTTTTTTATTTGCTTTCAAGTTTTTAATACAGAAATGACCTTTCAGCAAATGAGCATTTGCCAGTGAAAAATGATGTCACGGAAGTACATTCCCTTTTCCCAGTGTTAGCTGAACTACATTTAGAGAGCGAGCAAGTATGAGCTAAGTGTAAAATCAATAAAGGAAGTTGATTGTTTTGTGATATCCCTCCATTTCCTCAGCAAGTCATAATAACTTGTTCTGGCTTTTGCAGTACAGAGTGCGTTCCTGCTGTTATAAGCAAAGGTGTTTGCATCATACTTTTAAGTGTGTAATTGGAAAAAATTGACCACCTAAAGGTCTTTAGATTATTTTGTTTGTTTTGTTTGGTTCTTCAGATGTTTACAATTCACACAGGCCTGAAGTTTTTAATCTGCATAACTGACAAGTGCTAAAAAAAATATTGGCAGGAAAACTTGTAGCTTAAAATGTTTCATGAATCTTACTTACTAATGTAAATAAAATGATCAGTTTTGAAATAATAGATCAGAAAGCATGCTCATATGGTCATAATATTGAAAAATTATCTTTTTGAACTAGTTTTTATTTGTAGCACTGAATTTAGAGAGCCTAGTTATGCTGCATGTTACCTGGACTCTGAACTCACGCATTAACTTATAATCTTAAATTTAAATGCTGTAGTCTAAATAATGGTGGCTCAATGCAGAACCCTCTCTGTTGGGGATTATAGGGCCAGCCTGCAAGAGAAGTGGAAGAACATTCATACTTGTGAATGATAAACTGCCTGAGTGCCTGTCACACAAAGCTGTTTGTAAGGAGACGATGAAAGAAAGCAAGCAACTGATGATGGGAGTTTTTTCAAGTAAAAATCAGTTTAAGCTTTTCTGTCCTTTTTCTGTGATGAAGAGAAGTTGTTAGAGTCTACGTTGGAGGGTATTTCAAAGTTGACTTCCCAAACTTATGTCCTGTCCATGCTTTTGCTCAGTTTTTTTCCAGAATCATCTGTGTAATGGAATAGAAAACGTAGATGCTAAATGTTTTGGATGATACCAAATTGATTAGAATTAACTGTTGAAGTGTTAAAGGATAGGATTAGATCTCATGGAGATCTCAATGATCTAGAGAAGAATTTTATGTTGTTTTGACAGGAATAGGATTCATTGTGGTGAGGTTATTGGACGTGAGGATAAGAACATAAGTAATTGGGAGAATTCAGCTCTGGAAACTGAGAGTAGGTAAGAATGATACAATATGCGTTCACAAGAAAGGCAAAAGTGCATAAACAAAACACTGTCAAATAGGAACATGAATGAAAACCTAGATAAACCTTTGGTAAAAAGCCCTTTGTTCAGTTGGGGTCATCACACTTGAAAAAGATTAAGATCAATTGGAAAAAGTCCAGAATAGAACTCATGAATGCCTGGAGGTAGCAAAACCAGTATTTCTTTTGGGCAAAAGCAGTGGAAGCTAAGTGGACTCATGATAATTCCTTAGATCTATGGTATTCACTGCAACAAGGAATGAAGATGATTTGTCAGTGGTTATATGGAAGATGAAAAACATGTATAATATCAAGGGATGACTTGAGTACTTACAGCTTGACAATAAGAGTGCAGTAGCATTGACTTTTTTTTTTTTTTTTTTTTTTTTAGGGAACCTGAGAAAGCAACAGTTTAGGAAGTCTTTTAGAGCAGGCTGTGCAAATGTACTTCTGAGTCATAAGATAAGAAATGGTTGATTAAATCATCTAAGACCCTTTTTCATACTATGTGATTAGTACAGCTTAATACACATACCATGTCCTTATGCTTAAACTTTTTTGGAACCATCATCTACCTCACTGAAATCACCAGGACAAAACTCTAACCCACAAGCAACTGAAATAAACTTGTCAGTTATGACTTTGAACTTCTTGTGTTATCCTTCAGCAGAGTTGAGTGAATTATTTGTACTAGTAAAAATGATAATGTGAAATGATTGCTCCCTCTTCTACACTGGAAGTAGGCACAATCTCATGGTATGTATCAGGCCCAAATAACCAGGGAATCCTTGTACGATGTGCTTAGAAACATAAACTAGGCTTTGAAATTACTGTCATTAGTTTGTGTAGGATTTATTTACTTACAGTTCTGCTATATTTTTACTGCACTGATTCATGCTTTTTATATTGTTGGGCTGAAGTGATGCTGAGTTTTACCTTTTTAACTCCCTTGGTACTACAGATTGTGTGGATAAATGCCATTTTTGCCATTAATCTTCAGTATGCTTTCTCTGCTCAAAATTGCAATATCAAGTAGTGCAGTTGAAAAGTTTTGCTTAATGGGAGTTGAGTATTTTCAACATTGAATGCAAGAAGCAGAAAATGAGTTTGCTTATGTATAGGGATATTCTGCTACAGACAGTCCAAATGTATTTTGGTTCAGTTCAGTTTGGAATGAAACTTGAGAAATTGAAGGTCTAGTATTCTGTATAATCTTTCAGTTTTGTGCTCTGTTCCATGTCATTTCTGCAGTACCTCTTTTGTCCTACTCTTCAGAAGTTACACAAGTGCTAAAAGTGGGTTTCAGAATAGAAAAAAAAAAACAACAAAACAAAAAATAAACCTTAGAGCTGAATCCTACAATTCTGCTAAAAGCAACTTTGTTTATGGATAGTAGAAATCACATACAGTTTTTAGTGCAATAATTCTTGAATTATTTTGCTCTAGTTACTGAAAATGTAGAATCCTCTATATATAAGTAAGGTGGAATGTACAGAATTGTGTTTTGGAAGAACTGTGAAAAACCAAAGATTTGCAGAATGAATGAAGTATCTTACCAGGATAGCAAAGTATTTTGGTCCAAGAAAACAGAGCCAAAGGCATTGGACATTCTGTGTCATGTTTGGGCAAAACAATGAAATGCTGGACTGCAATACTCTCTAAAACCCAGCCGTATTACATTTCACTTTGTGGCTGCTAGCATGTTCACACTGACAGAAGCTTTCAGCTACACTTGGCAGCAACCAGTATGCTCTCCTCTCAGAACTGGGGAAATTTGCTCACAAAATCTCAAGACAGAAAAGGTCATGGAACCAAACCCGTCAATAGAATCTGCATGAAAGTTTGATCTGGGAAAATCAGATGATTACGGGTCTTAATGTAGCTATTAGAATTTCTTAGTGAGCTGCTAATTACATGTTAGAGAAGCAATTTGTAGTTGTCTCAGAGCACTTCCAGGTGTCACAAGTGTTGCCCACTTGCTGACTGCCCTGTCTGATCTCAGCTTAAAAACAGAGGAAATAACAGTGTAAAGGAAATTAGTGGTGCTAATGTGGATTAGTAGTAGTATTGGTAATACCTTGAAGAGCAAGATATGTTTGTATGAGATCTGTGCAGATCTGTAAACACTTTACATGAAGATAATGTGTTAAAATACTCATGTACAGTAATGTGATAATAGTAATCTTTTTATATGTGCATAGCATTATATTAGGTGGAAGTAATATCAAGTGTTCTGTTGCTTTATGGCTATAAATTTTGACAAAAACATAATGCATAATCCAAACGTTACAGCAAATCACAGAATCGCAGGGGTTGGAAGGGACCTCTGGAGATCATCAAGTCCAACCACTGTGCTAAAGCAGGTTCCCTACAACATGTTACACAGGAAGGCATCCAGGCAGGTTTTGAATATCTCCAGAGGTGACTCTACAGCCTCTCTGGGCAGCTTGCTCCGTTCTCTGCTGCCCTCAAAGTAAAGAAGGTTTTTCTCCCATTCATACGGAACTTCCTATGTTTTTATTTGTGCCTGTTGCCCCTTGCTCTGTTGTTGGGCACCACTGAAATGAGCCTGACCCCATCCTTTTGACTCCTTCCCGTTAGATATTTATAAGCATTGATAAGATTTCTCCTCTGCCCCCCATATTCTCTAGAACAAACAGTCTCAGATCTCTCGGCCTTTCTTCGTAAGGGAGATGTCCCAGGCCCCTCATCATCCTTCTGGCCCTCCACTGGACCCTCACAACAAATTCCCTGGTTTTCTTGAGCTGCAGAGCCCAGAACTGGACACAGTACTGACTGAGAGCAAGCAATCTGTTCTAACAGCTCATTACAGCTTTGGGGACCCTTTTTTCATGGTTTCAATTGTTTGTTTCTTCAGCAAAGAAAAGAAAATTTTAGATGATAGGTGGACATGCAAGCCAAATGAGCTCAGTTACTCAGTGTATTTTCAGTATCAATTAACTTATGTCTAAACTGATTATAACTGCATTAAAAAAAATTCCTTCTTGGCTGGAACTATTAAAGATGCTTCTGGACGTGGTTTTATCTATTTCAAAATGCATTTATATTTACACAAAGTCAGTACAACAACATAGAAGCATGATGGGAAGCAGCAGCTAAAACAGTTACTAAAAGAAAATATTTAAGGGTCCATATCCTAAATTGAAAGATCTTTTTTTCCTCGTGATTCGCTTTGATTTTGTGAATATTTATAGGAGATGATGGGCTGAATACATATTTGAGCACTGATACTCCTAAGGCTGTATTGCTCTAAACAACTTCGTGTGGGTACCTATTCAGAAAATTTCTGCCCTACTCCAGCTTTGCTTTGAAATTATTGTTTACATTTGTGTTGTATTGTAGTCAACCTAAAAATGATGCCTGGCTATCTCTAGCTGTTGAAAGCAGTGCCAGAACTTCCTAAGCACTGAACTTTAAATGAACAAACAAAACATATTCTTCGTCTATGAAGAGAGAAACCTACTAGGCTACAAGGAGAATAGTAGCTCAAAGCTTTCAGTGAAATAGTGCATAGTGCATTATTTTAAAACTCTTACAAGCTTCAATAGTAACTTTTATTTTTGAGAAAGTTGGACTTGTAAGAATTTTATTTCCTGGAAAACATCTTTCTCCAAAAAGGGAGTGACCTTTAAAACACCTAAGAACTCTTTTGAGACTCAGATTTTGTACTTTATCCACTGCTGCCACTTGGTAGCACAATAGTGTTTACCCAAGAAAGTGTGAAAAACATATCTCTCTTTTTTTTTTTTTTTCTCCTTTCAACTTTTAAGGGTTTAAAGGTTAACTTTTTCTAAAAGAAAAGGAAAGGAAAAGAAAAAAAGGAAAATATTTTGATAATTGCTTTCTATTAGGAAAATATTAGAGAGATGTTTTGTTTATTTTTCAGTTGTATGGCACTGGGAGAATATTTGCTAGCCTGTCCTATATTGTTACCCTTTTTGCTGTCCCCTGCAGTATTTGCATGTAGATTGTTTTTTGCTGCACTGAACCCATTGCTCAGAAACATTTCATTTTGTATGCTGATTTCTTAGAATATGTTTTTAATTTCATGAATTAATGGCAAATTGATTATGCAAACATTTCATTTGGATAGCTGCCATCAAGGCTGTGATTTGGGCTGTGATTGGCTGGATGTGTCATATTGTTTCTGGTCCCAGGGTGAATGAACACTTAAAACACTTCTGCTGTGAACAAACTTCATTATGGATGTAAAATTAATTGCCTACGAGCTCTTTCTCATAACATCTTTGATGTTCAATTTCTATGAACGTTCACGCCAATTAAAATTTGTCTCTCAAGAAATCCAAAAGCAGAAAAGGCCAAACATTACAAAAGCAACTTTCTTGAAAAGCTCTTCTGTGCAATCCTAGAACAATTCCTAAAACATTAGAATCTAATTTACTGCTAATGTTGAAAATATCGGTATTTCGAAATTGTCATTGTCGGCCACAGCACATTTTGCATATATTAGAAAATAAATTGATAGTTACAGTGATGCTAAAAATAAATCAAAGCCTCCCTGTCCTTTTAATAAAGTACTGTTTGACCCTCCTCTAAGAGAAGAGGCCTCTGTATCTTCTGTCACTGTGTAAACTGGCAGTGTGCTGTTATTCCACTGGGCAATGCATGTACAGCTACTGAAATGAGGTCGCTGTGTGAAACCGTAACAGCAGAATCCTGCTGAAAACCGGTCATTTAAAGCTTCTCTCTCCATTTGTTTGTGGCTTCTCTGATAACTGGAATCGGGTAGTGCTCAGGTGGCAGTGCCTGTGGGGCTGAGGCAGGTGAGATGGCAGCTCCAACACTGCACAGAACCCAGCTGGGAGAGCCAGTTGAGGGATGCTCCCACAGGGTGGGATTTGAGCATTTAGCTCACCTGTAGTTTTGCAGCAATTTGTTTAAATGGCCAAAGCAGCGCGATACAACTAGAGAGGGAGAATGGGTTTGCAGCCTACAACAAGGCAAGGGATAACTGAGCTGGTTTTTAAGGTGGTCTGTACTCTTCCTGTTTCTCAGAACGCCAAGGTGTTGACAGCACAGACCGGTGGTAGGATTGAAGCACTGGAAGTCAAAGTTTTGAAATAATCTGCTTTCTCTCTCACTTGACCTTGTTTGCAGCACTGATGGCAGAGGTGAGCTGCTGGCTCTTGTCACCGAGGCTCCCGGGTGAGGGGGCTCACACAGCTGACAGGGCAAATGATTGAGGCTGCAGTGTCAGCAACATGATGGGTAGGACTGCATGCTGCAGGAGTGGCATGGAGTGCCTGATGGAGGCAGGGACGGGACCTGGGGCTGTCATCTGTGTCACTCAGCTGACCACACCAGACCTGCAGTTTCCTTAAGACTGAGCTGTGTTGAATGTCATTAATTTTCTCTCTACTTATGTCATACAGGGTATCTCTTTTCCATGTAACTGTTG